TATTAAATTAGTAGGTAGTTGTTTTTCAGGATGCTCATCATTAACATCAATTAATATACCTTCATCAATTAATGAAATACGACATCTTTGTTTTAAAGAATGTATATCATTAACATCAATTAATATACCATCATCTGTTAGTAAAATAGGAGATTGTTGTTTTTATAATTGTTATTCATTAACATCAATGAATATAGATCATCTACAATTTATTAGTGAAGAAAGAATATTTATGAATGAACCAGTATTATTTAGTATTAAAATACCAGGTATTCTACAAACAATCAATGGAAAGAATATTGAAAAGAAAGATATTAATAAATTTATTATTCCATCTTCAATTACTAAATTAGGATATCGTTGTTTTAATGGATGTATATCATTAACATCAATTAATATTCCATCATCAATTAATGAAATAGAAGATGAATGTTTTGATGAATGTTCATCATTAATATCAATAAATATCCCATCATCAATTACTAAACTAGGAGACTGGTGTTTTAATGCTTGTTCATCATTAACATCTATTAATATACCTTCATCAATTAAATCATTTGGAGATGGGTGTTTTTATAAATGTGGATGTGAAGATGAATTAAAGAAAAATGAAAGAATACCATGAAATTGTTTTACAGATAGTGATGAATGAAATAAAAATACAATAAATAAAGTACAATATAAATTGAAGTAGAAATAAATTATAATTGATTATCATTTATATTCTTATTATTATTCTTTTCTTATTTATTCTTTTTGATATTATTCTTTTCTTTCTTATTGATTGATATATCATTCTTTATATTTGTTTTATAATTCTTTTTTTATTTTTTATTTCTTTTTATTCTTATTTTTATATTCTTATTCTTTCTTTCTTTTTTTTATTCTTTTTCTTTATATCTTTTATTTTATTTATTTTATATCTTTATTTTCTTTTGTTTATTATTTATCTTATTTATTTATTTGATTTATATTTTATATTTATTCATTCTTTATTCTTCATTTTGTTTTAATTTATATTAAAATTATTTAGAAATGAGAGAATATAATGTTGAATTTGATTTTATATTTTGATTATTTCATTAATCAAATTGATGATTATTGTTGATAATTTTCATATTTCATTTTATTTTATTTTATTATATTTTATTGATGATTTCATTATAT